GTTATAATTTTTCAGATTCACCCAAAGGGACCACAGTGCAAGGAGACACAAATGGGACACTGACTTGCAGTACTAATGCAAACCCAGCTGTAAAGAACTACACCTGGTACAGAGCTGATGGAGGCCAGGAGACTTTCATGGGGACTGGACGCGTTTTAACTGTTAAAGCTTCAGATGTCAGCGGTCCTTTTTTCTGCAAGGCTGAAAATGAACTGGGGAGTGGACGATCCAACAACAAACACATAGATGTTCAGCGTATGTATAAAGGTTAAACTGTGTGTTTTTAAACCTTTAAAGGTCTATAATTCATCCAGAGCAGTGATTTACTGATTATAAAATGTTGTTAATGTTTCAGTTTTCAAGATTGATTTCCATCTTTGGCACTTTCTGTATTAGTATATAAAACATTACTAATTTGTCTTTTTCATCCAAATGTCCATGTGTGCCAATTTGGGCCAATCAATCATTCAGTTTCCCTTTCATAATCAACTCCTTCATGTGCCAGTGGGTTTATGTGTTTAAATTGTGCTTTTGAACATAACCACCATGAAACAATCAGAAATGAATATTGAATTTCTTCTGGCTCAGCGTTGTTCCTGCTGAAACCTCTCCTCTTCTTTTAGTCTTTTGGTTGCTCAGCCTACACTCGTCTCTCTCGCTCGCTTTGCGGTCTTGATTTGAAAATATGATACAGCTTTGGTACTTCCTTCACTGTCAAACTGACAATGAAGTAGACTTTAGTGGTAAAAACCATCAAGTTGAAAAAGTGTCCCCCCCCCCCCAAACAGGGTTATGATATTATCATGTTATTTCTTATGACAGGTCTTGAGGATAACTGTGGACCCTACGGTGGAGTTCTCTTCTGGGCTGTTACTGGAGTGTCTCTCACTGTGAACATCGTCCTCACACTCTGCATGGTGTTTCTTTGGTATGTTATTACACCGGAGGACTTTTTAGAATAAACTGTGCTGATGAAGATATGACAAATGGAGCAGACTTGTGTATAAAACAATTTTTAATCCTCATTTCTTCTTTTACTAAAGGAAACAAAGAGAGAGCATGAAGCCAAAAGAAGAGGACAGCACTTACATGAATCTGGATCACACTAACAGATCTCCAGACTATGATGTCATTGCCAAACGTCATACCTGATTATTTGAAGACTCTCTCTCTGTCTCCCTCTCTGCTCTTCCTGCATTGCTTTAAATATCGACTTTGAGATATGAATGTGATATTTCAATATTCTGCAGGGTGTTTGGCACAATACATGATTCATTCTCAGTAATTTCACATAATATTTTCTCCATGAAGCCTCTGATGTTCAAATCTGGAGAGATATTGATCATTAATTGTGGATAAGTTTGAGGTGATGGTTTTCACTTTTGTTTGTATTGAAGCTCTGCTAATCAAGATTTTTATTTTTTATTGAAAAAGTAAATGGTTTATCAAAAGAGATGCACATTGAATCAATCCAAGATATGGAAACATTGGTACAGTTGTATCCTCTGGGGCGCTGTTTTTATCTTTTTTTAGTGATTTTATACCATGCATTGCATTTAAGTTGCAGATTTTTATACTATGCTTTGTATTTCATGTATCTTGTATTGTATTTTATGTCTTTTGGATTTTATTATTTGGACCCTGAGTCTGTAATAAAGTTTTGATTCATTCATTGCATGCTCTTGTTTTCCAATCAGATTAAAGAAAGCCTGTGAGGCCAGTTCCAGAGGACAGGGTTTAAATGGCCCTGAATCAAAGACGAGGTTAAGGAGGATAGTTGAAATGTCCAATATGTAAGACATCTTCTGAATTAAATCTTGAAATGGTCTTTCTATATCATCAGACATTAAGGAAACATGATCTGTTTAAGTGCTGGTTTATCTGAAAACACATAGCAGTTGGTATGTCCTCCTTTTAGTTTTCCATTGTGGCGCAGAATCATTGTATTTTGACCAGAGAAGGTGGGCGGTTGCTTCTGAAAAAAGGAGAGAGGTTAGAGAGCAGAAAAGTCTCTAGACCGATGCAGAGCTGGTTAAAAACTGAAGCTTCAGTGTCCACGACATAGTAACCTGTTTGCACATTGGCTCTAGGAGGGAGGGGGCGGGGAAGAAAGCTCTGTCCAATGTTTTGAATTGAAGAAAAGTGTTGACGAGCTGATATCCTAAATCACACAAAATGTTAAAACATTATTACAGTGGTAACAGATACATGTTTATCTCTGAATTTATAGTTTCCGCTCTTCTGGCGGTTGAGAAAGGCGTCCTAATACTGCTGGGAAGTTCGTGGTCTCAGTTTCCATCAACTGTTTTAACCAGCTTGATTTTATCATTGAAAGATAGTCCTTGTTCAGTCACGTTTACAAATCAACAAGCTCAGGTTTTTACTTCTACTCAATTTAATCTGAGAAAACCCAGACAGGAGACATTGTTGATGAATGCTATTAGAGGTGTTCCTGTTCCTCGAGGAAACAAAATAACGCCTTCTCCTAATCCTGCATGAATTATTTAGTTGAGTTTATCAGTATCACCGTGGGACTGTGTCTCAATATCTTACAACTTACATTCAACATTACCCAACAAACAGGACAACATCCAGTATTCGGGTTGCATCATATAAAATGACAGCACTAACAGGACATTCATTTTTTTTCACACATTACGGACAGCCTCTGGACACAGAAATGATAAGATAAAGTGAATGCAGTGACATCAGTGTGTAACAGTCAATCAACAACCATTACAAGGTAATCTGAAGCAAGCCAAACGTTATGAAACAAAGCTTGTGAATGGGGTGTAAGGTTGTAGTTGTGTAGTTGTGTGTGTGTGTGTGTGTGTGTGTGTGTGTGTGTGTGTGTGTGTGTGTGTGTGTGTGTGTGTTGAGCTTGTGCGTGTGTGTGTGTGTGTGGTGTGTGTGTGTGTGTGTGTGTGCGTGTGTGAGACTGTGCGTGTGTGTGCGTGTGTGTGGGTGTGTGTGTGTGCGTGTGTGTGGGTTGCGTGTGTGCGTGTGTGCATGTGTGTGTGTGTTGTGTGTGTGTGTGGGTTGTGTGTGTGCGTGTGTGTCGTGTGTGTATGTGTGTGTGTGTGTGTGTGTGCGGTGTATGGGTGTGTGTGTGTGTGTGTGTTGTGTGTGCGTGTGGTGTGCGTGCGCGTGCGGTGCGTGTGGTGTGTGTGTGTGTGTGTGTGTGTGCGTGTGCGTGTGTGTGTGGGTTGTGTGAGCCTGTGCGTGTGTGTGGTGTGTGTGTGTGTTGTGGTGTGTGTGTGTGTGTGTGTGTGTGTGTGTGTGTGTGTGTGTATGTGGTTGTGTATGTAAGGGAGAGAGAGAGAGAGAAAGAGGAAGAGATAGAGAGAGAGGGACAAGATGATGAAGATAATCACGTGTGATCAGGTTCAAACTGAGATGGCGGCGTGATCACGTGTGGTCACTAAAAACTAGAAGATGGCGGCGTAATCACAAGTGATCACGTTCAAACTGTAAGATGGTGACGTGATCACTTGTCGTCACTATGATGGCGGACACTGACCTGAGACGGCCTAATGGTGTGGTCTATTGTCTACCCAATGAAGCAGGATTAAGTTAAACTCCAGCCACCACTGAACCTTTTTACTTTTAGTGCTACAGCACATAGTTTATCTGTAAGGACCGAGTCGAGAACACACGAGATCTGGTCAAAGGTTAGGTACGACTTTACTCCATTCACTCTCATCGTATCTGCAGCTATTTAACAACAATCATCTCACAGCAGTCTGCTGTAGTTTGTGAACATCCACACAGATTAACGCAGATTAAAGTTGTTTGTTGCAAACTACATTAATTTAGAGGGGAAAAAATATTTGATATAAATACAAACTTAATATTAAAATGTACCCTAAAATAAGAGTAAAAATTAATCTGGAATTATAACTGTTTGTTATGTGCATATTAAATGGGTTTGTAGGCTGTCTGTAATGGCTACGGCTCCCTGTGAGGACTGGTAGATCTCGGCAGACTGAACGCTAACAGTTGGAGTTAAAAGAGGCGGTGATGATGCAACAGAGTAGTAACAAATACATGTTTATCTCTGAATTTGTAGTTTTCCGCTCTTCTGGCGGTTGAGGAGGCTTCCTATTGCTGCATGCTATGGGGGAAGTTTGTGGTCTACATTGAAATTAATGTGTTTTAAAAATTCATAATCAAGGTGAGTATTACAAACATGTTAATTTAGTTCCAAAGATGAAAAATAGAAGAGAACATGTGTGATCGAGAAGAGTCCTCAAAGCTTTTACTCCACAGGTCACACCAACACATTCACACAGTTAAGGCAGAGGCTGCTATGAAAAGTGACCATCAGAAGTAACTCATCCCATTCATACACATTCAGACTCCACCGACGAAGCAGCGGGACACATCATACATGTGCTGGGTATCGAACCCCGACCTTCCGGTTGAGAGACAACTAACTATACCAACTGAGCCACAGTCACCACTGTCTGTCTGTGGAGTTCAAATAGTAATCATCTATTTTACTAATGGGAGGAAGTATTGTACTTTATTTAAAAGTAAAAACATTGTTAAATGGTCTAATCAGCTGGTTGGTGAGTCACGGCTCTACCAAGCGTCCCTGTAATCCAGACCGTTAGAGCAGATAGCTACCTACAGTATGTCTTAAACATTGACTCCCACCCTTTGCACCGTGATTTTCAGCATCTTCCCTCTGGACGGAGGTTTTTCAGTCCCAAGGGGCAGAACAAAGCCGAACAAAAATAACTATCTTTCTGCTGCTATCACTGAACTGAAAAAGCTGTAGCCATATTTGCAAATATCCTGGCTTAATTTTGTGATTAATTTTATTGTTTTTTTCATTCATTGGAACCTTGAGCACTTTTCTACAATTCTACAATTCACATAGCAGACACTTTTATCCAAAGCGACTTTTATCATTGTTATAATTTATTCATTTTTTAAAATAATGTTTCCGTAGGTTATAAATAGATTGATCCTTCTCGAATGTGTTTATCTTCTTACATCTGTTTTGTCATTTCTCTCATAGCTCGCTAGGTGTACAAATACAGTAACCTGCACCTGAACAATGTGTTATTTCTTTAAATCTCATAAAACAGGCGGGTGGAGACTAATAGGTGAGTATTACAAACATGTTAATTTAGTTCCAAAGATGAAAAATAGAAGAGAACAGAAGAATACATGTAATTGAGAAGAGTTGTGGCACTGTTATGAGCCATGATAGAAATGACTGTAAAATGATTGTAACACGCATGTTCACTACTGTGACTTCCTCGTGTAATTTACTGAAGAAGGCTGTTTGAAAAAGCAGCACACACTTTGAAGGAAACGTCCCTCCTCTGAACATCTTCACCTCTCTGCTCCAGAGGACCTGACAAGAATGTAAGTTTACATGATTTTGATTTGAAAAATATGAAAATCAGCACTTGATACATAATTCTAAAAATGTGTACTTTTTCTCAACTTGGATTTAGATCAATAAACTAATACCATAGGTTAAGGAAAAACAGACACTGTAAAAGGAGAAGCATTTTCTCTTTGATCTTGGACGTAATAAAGCTGTCGTTGTGTTTTTGTATATTGCTGGTGATTAAAGGAGCTGCCTATAAACAGATTATAGCGTTCATTTTAACTATAGACTGAAAATACATTAATGAAAAGTAGCATTATGTGTCACTTTTGCCTTCACAGACCACAAAGCTTCCTGTTTTTTTCTAATCATTTTATCATCTACAACATGATGCTGCAATAAGCAACTTCAGAAGTATGAAATAACTCAAATATACTTAGTATGAAACTGATGTGTACCCATGTGTACTCTCCAGACTTTCTGCCTATTCTGAAACACAAAGATGGCTGTAGCTCTCACTCTCCTTCTTGTTGGCTGTCTGCTCCCAGGTGAGATATTCACTCACATTAAGCCCACCACTGTAAAAAACAAAAAGTAATTTGAAATAATACCTCAAAAACTTAGCGTTACACATAGCTAGTCCAAAATTCACAAATGATTAACACATGTTCTTATTTAAATGTTCTTTCATGTGTTTCAGGTGCCCTGTGTGGACAGTTTGAGAGCATTATACAGACTATAGAGGTTCTGAAGGGATCCTGTGTGACAATCCCCTGCTCCTTTGACGTAGAGGATCAATTTAATGTAAACTTAATAACACTTGTAAAGCATTATGGAGAGAAATACTTTGGACCTGATGTGTTTGATAGCAGTAATCCACAACAGAAAGGACAATTGATCGGTGACCTAACAAAAAAGACTGCACCACAACCCTGAATGACATGCAACCTCAAAACAACAAAAGTGCATAATTTTAGATTGGAATGTGACAATGATCTGAAATACTTTTTTGATGGCGTGAAAATTTCAGTCACAGGTAGGTTTCAAATTCAACTTAGTTCATTCATGTAGTAGTTCTCTGACCTTATTATAATTACTTTAAAATAAAGATAAATCAAACCTTTGATAGAGAGAGAAATGACTGCTTATACATGTTTATGTATCTTCTGAACAGATGATCCACCCAGACCGACTCTGACTCCGCCCACACTGAAGGTGAAAGAGGGAACCTCAGTGAGTTTGAACTGCTCTGCTCCAGCTCCCTGTCTGTCTCTTCCTCCAAATCTGACATGGAGCCCGGCCTGGGTGAAGGTCAGGAGACCCTGCAGGAGAATCAGGACAAAACTAAAGTCAAGATCTCTGTGCTGAACTTCAACGCATCACACCTCCATCACGGACAGGAAATCTCCTGTACTGCTGTCTACAGAAAACAAGATGGCAGCACTGAGTCATCTGTGAACACCAGTTTAACAGCTGACATTACATGTATGTTTGTCTTGTGATTAAGGAATTCAAACTTAAACTTTTAAATGCTCTCTCATCTCCTTAAAATCTTGACTAAATTAAATTAGGTGTGAAACAATAAGTCCTTGAAAGTAAATCTTTACCCAATTCTTTAGATTTTCTAATCAGTGTTGACATGACATCAATTTAATAAATCAAACACCTCAGTGTGAGATGCTTCTGTATTTTCTTGCTCACAAAGCTTCAACAGCAAGCCTTTAACTTGCTCTGCTTCATTTCTCTGAAGTGTTTCCTCATCCAAAATATCCTTTGCAGGCACAATTCTTGTTAATTGCATAAACTTCAAGCTGCTTTGAAATCAAGCTAAAGCAGAGACTGAGAAGAAAAGACAAAAGGGAACATCTACATCTGCATGCCATATATCTAATTCTGATTAAGATGCATTTTAGGATTAACATAATTCCCTTAATGTACAGAAAACATGAAACTAATGGCAACCTTTCTTGTAAGTGCAAACATGCTGAAAAGCAAAGGCTTCAAATGTTGCTGAAGCAGAGTCAGTAATTTTCTTCATGATTTTTCTTCCAAATCAGCAAGAAAGTGACAGTTTACAATTCAATTATCAAAAGAACAAGTCTGTTTATTTTTTTCCTCCCAGATTCACCCAAAAAACCACAGTGTCGGTCAGTCTGTCCGGTCCAATACGACAAGACAACATTGTGACTCTGACCTGTAGTAGCAGTACCAACCCAGCTGTAAAGGACTACACCTGGTACAGAGCTGATGGAGGCCAGGAGACTTTCATGGGACTGGACGTGTTTTAACTGTAAAGCTTCAGATGTCAGCGTCCTTTTTTCTGCAAGGCTGAAAATGAACTGGGGAGTGGACGATCTGACAACAAGACTTATATGTTCAGCGTATGTATACAAGTTAAACTGTGTGTTTTTAAACCTTTAAAGGTCTATAATTCCTCCAGAGCAGTGATTTACTGATTATAAATGTTGTTAATGTTTCAGTTTTCAAGATTGATTTCCATCTTTGCACTTTCTGAATTAGTATAAAACATTACTAATTTGTCTTTTTCATCCAAATGTCCATGTGTGCCAATTTGGGCCAATCAATCATTCAGTTTCCCTTTCATAATCAACTCCTTCATGTGCCAGTG